TCCAGATCCAAGAGCTTCTCTTGGTACAATCACATTAAACTGAGGTTTCATATTTGGTACTGTCCCTTTAAGATCCTCGTCAGCAGAAGAAGCTGATCCAGTTTCTTAATCCAGGAGCTGATCCTGGTATCCTCTGACGCTGTGATTTACAGCTGACTTAGCTGCTCTCCTATTTTGTCCCGTTCCTCTTTGTCTTCATGCTAACGACTGAAACCTGGGTTAGCTTAAACACCGTTAGCCTCCCAGCTGGCAGGAACCATCCAAGCAGAGCAGGGGGTTTCATCGTAACACCTGCCTCCGTAATGGCTCTCACATTGTGTGTGTGTGTGTGTGTGTGTGTGGATAATGTGGGGTCATGTTGCATAACTGTAAAGCCTCTCCCAGTAGCTCATTATATGTGTGAGAGGATAACGATTGGGCTGATGTCATTAGCACTCAGCTTCAATTTGTACTGGAAATGCATTCGGTCCACGTTAATGTGCTTCTTTAAATTCACCAATCCACCAATTATTGACAAAACTTAAATGAAAGCCAGAGTTACAGAACTCCTACAATAATAATACAACTTCCTAAAGTAATTTTCAGAGTTTGTCTGAGCTCTCTCAAGGTATCAGAGCAAAATTCTGACTTTTTTTCTCAGAATTTTGAATTTTTTCCAAGAATTCAGATTAGATTTGTTTTTTTGTAATCTTGTGAAATTAGAGCCATAATTCTTTTTATTATCTTTTTTTTTTTCTTTTTATAAGTGGCCCTAATCTTCTGTAAAAATGGACTAAAACCGGATTTTGTATGAAGAAATTCTTAGATTTTATGCTGAAGCCGCCCAGCTCTCTCACAGCAGCTCTTCATCAGTGGACCTTCATGGCATGAAGGAGGCCAAGTAGCAGCAGCTGCGTCCTGTTACAGCCCCGCTTCCTGTTATTCTGGAAAGCAACGTTCGGATCAATACTTCCAGCTACCAAATGGACCTCTTATCGCTGCCTTGGATAGCCAGCTCCTGCTCTAAAGCACCACTTAGTGGGCCGACCGGACCATGAGGAGTGACCAGAAGATGGCCGCCGTGCTGCAGATGTTCCAGCAGCACTTTAGAGTGAATCACCTCTGATCCGATGCACATTTGTGGGCTTACAGCTGCTGAGGCACGAGCAAGTTTCCAAGCAGAAGGTTTTCTAACTCTGTTCTCAGATCGGGGCGGTTATCCTGGTGATTGGGCATCAACGTGCAGCGTCACGTCACTCATTACTTCCTGCTGCTGCTCACAGCGTCCGCACTGCTTCTGCTTTTAGTATCCAAAATAAATGGTTTCTAAGCTGAAGCTGCACAAAATAACCTTTTCATCCCGACTGATATTAGCTCAAACATTTTCTGCTTTAGGTCAGGATCACCAAGATAGTTTCTATTTTGTTACTATATCTGCTTTTAGCAAATTTATGAAAACCTGTCAAGAATCTACAACATTTATATCCTAAAGAGCCAATTTCACTCTGAAAATAACCAAATAAAACTCAGAGGCACAAATGTCACATGATAAATATCTACTTTAGAAGATTTCTTATCATTTTTAAAGAACCAGTGTTTTATCTTTATTTTTAGGATTTAAAATAAAGATGAACCTAAGAGACGATTGTTAATTTATTAAAAAAGCACAAAGATTCCAACTTATTTACATGGAAGATGGATGTAAAGATGAATTACTGACACTTTTAGTGTGATTCCTTGTGGAAATTCAGTGCAGATATGGCCGGGAAAAGAAACTGGAAAATTAGTGAGAAAAAAATCTGAATTTTTGAGATTAATCTAAAAAACAAAACCATTTAAATTTTAGAGTTTGAAAAGTCAAAAAAAATTTAGAAAAAAAATTAATCTGAGATTTATGCTATAAAATTTCTAGAATGAATGTCAAAACGTCTGTTTCTAAAGTAAAAAATCTGCTAGAAAAATCTCTTGAGAGAAATCTCAGAAAATTTCCAGAAAAGCATGGAAATATCAGAGTTTTAAAGGTTTAAAATTTGTGAGAAAAAAAAGTCTGGAATTTTTTGATTAATCTCAGAATTTTTCCAGGAAAAAAACTTGCATTTCAAAAGTCAAAAATCTGTGAGAAACAACTAAAAAACATTTAGATTAAACCCAGAAATGTTTCAAATTTTTTTAAAAGTTGAAAATTTGATTAATTTAAAAACTTCTGAGTTTTTTCTAGCATATTTTTGACTTTTCAAGCTCTGAAATTTCCACGTTTTTTCCAGAAAATCTTATTTGTTTCTAGTAAATTTTAAACTTTTGGATCTCAGAAATGTCCTTTTTTTTCTAAAACAGAAAATGTATTTCGGCAACAAAGAACTCCTCTTCTTTCTGTCTTGTTTTCCTGTCTGCAGGGCCCTGGTGCCTTGTTGTATGGACAAGAGTAAACAGAGAAAAGTTGTTTGGTCAGAACCAGTTTGGTTCTCCTGTTGGTTCCTGTTTGTTTGCCTTTAATTACCTTCATCCAGTTGGACATTCACACCTTTCCACCCCAGGCTGTGGATAACAGCCGCCTCGTTATCCATCCACACTCCTCCACAACCTGTTTTTTCCTCACTCTTGTAAAAAAAGTCATTTTTAGCGGCACAGAAAGGTGTAAAAACCGCCTCTCTGTTTGAGTTTGGTGCTAATGAACCGCGTTCACTCCCGCTTCGCCTCGGTGAAGAAAAACCATCAAACAGGAATGTTTGAGTTTTTTAATCATAACTGCATTTCTGGAGTCTAATACTAACCCTAAAGCTAATGAAACATTCGGGAACGTCTGCAGCTTCTCTGATTTCCAGAGTTCTTGCAGAGGCAGAAATCTCCTCCATGTTTATTTTAGCTGCAGGGAAATGTTTCATCTGAGGAAATGATTAATGAGAAGGACTGAACAGTAAATGGAGTAAATAATCTGGATTTCCAAATTAATAATTCAATCTCTAAGCATATTGAAGCAATTTTCAGATTATATTTTCAAAATCTAAGCCTCCTTAACTTGCTAACTTTATTAATCTCAGTGTTTTATTTGCCTGCTGTGGTGGAAAATAACTCGTCAGGACGGATCTAAAACAGGAACGTTGTGAATCAGACGGTTGAGTAGCTGTCTGGAAACACAAATGAAATGTTATTTTTAGTGACATTTTATGACTCATTTCTATTTACTTTCATTTTTAGCTTCTAATTAATTGAACCTGTCAAATTTGTGCAGTGAGAGAAACAAGAGAGCAGAAAACACGTTTTGATCGTCATCAGAAACGATTTCAGAGGGAAAGATGTGGATTTTCTTCACCAGATACGATCTTTAGATGTTTTTGTCCTCTTTACTATTCAGATCTTTTTGCATGTGAAAAATTGAATCTTCTTCTTTGGGGAATTTAACTTTTACGGAGGTGAAAAAAATAAATTTATTTTCTCAAAATTTTAACTTTAATCTCAGAAATTTTAAATTTTTTTCTCAAAATTTTAATCTTAGAAATCTGACTTTATTCTATAAAATTTTAAATTTCATCTCAGAATTCTGACTTTTTTCTCAAAATTTTGACTTTTAAATTACTTATGCAGCATCTTGCAAATCTATAGTCTTAAAACTCAACTCTACCAAATAAATTTGGGACAAAAACGATAACTATCCTGTGACAAGAAAAAAACAGTTTGAACTTTATGGAGTAAAACCTTGAAATTAGCCCTTTTTTCTTTTTTTTTTCAGATTTAAAAAATTTTCTGTAAAAATTCCGACCAAAAAAATTTACAAACATTGACAAAACAAAAACACTTTCAGATACCTGTGGAGTAAATTAAAGTTTCTATTCAAATTCTCACTCTGGGATTCCTCTGTGTATCATTGTTTATATTTTATACAAATATAATATTTAAACTCACTGAGATGCGTTTAGAGCTATTCTTGCATCAAAAGGATTTAAAGAGAAACTTTTAATGTTTCTGCTGAACGTTTCGACTCCAGCATAAATTATACTTTTATCTTTTCTTCCAGCTGGAGGTGAAAGGTGCAAAATAAAGAAATATGAGTTGGTGTTGGAGAAAAATAACACTTTTTATCTGTCTAATTAGAGATGTAATGTGTGAAAAACTAACTGCGTTCTCACTTCTGTTAAAACTGAAATAATAAACACACAGGAAGATGCCCTTCTGTTTGTTTTTATAGTGGATTATTAGGAAAAGTCGTGTAAAAAAATTTGGCCACTTTTTGTCCCAAAAAAACAAAAGTGATTAATTTTGTTTCCATTTTTACTTCTTCTGTGATATTTCAATAAAACAGATTCAGATATTTGTAGAGCTGAAGCAAAACAAATAGTTGCAAATTTGATATTTTTACTTTTTTTAAAAAAAATATTTAGTTTCCAGAATCAGTTATGAATCAATTACATTTTATTCCCAGGTCTCTATTTTAGTATGTGTTGCTGGATATTTGTGGTCAAACTTCCTATTTGCGTAAAATTAAAGAGAAAAACATGGATGATAAATGACAAAAAACCTTTAGTACTGAACAATTTTTGCCTTTTTTTTAAGATTTTGGAAATTTCTGAAAAAATTCTGACCAAAAATTTTTTACAAATGTCAATCTGGAAGGCTTGAATGCCTTAAATCGTTCCAAGGGCCACAAATGGCCTACGGACCGCACTTTGGATTAAATATTAAATGAATATGCAGGTTACACTTTTATTTGTAAACAATAATAAAAAATCGGATAAAATAAGATTGTAATGAGACAAAGCATCAAAAAGTTTGAGATGTGAATACTATATCCAGACAGGCAGGGACGCAGGTGAGTACTTTCTGAGGTGTATTGATAGATTATAGGATCCCCCCCCCCTCCTGTTTCAATGCACAAACAGCTGTCAGATTACTAGAAGTGATTATGTCGCCATATTGTGGCGCCCCCTCTAGCCCGGCGCCCCTATCCATTTGCGTCCAGAACTTTTTTAGCTGAATTTCTGGATGCCTCCAGATCAACTCCCACCTGTAGTCCCCTAGTCTCCTACCTGCAGCCAGCTGCATCCAGCCGCAGATCTTGTACACGGTTCCGGTGCTGCAGAAGAAGAAGAGCGCGAAGCAGCCGATGCAGGTGAGCACCAGCACCATGGACATGCCGATGAAGACGGAGGCAGCCTTGAAGGCGCCGGACGGGATGCTGTGGAACTCCGTGAAGCTGCCCTGACACACTAGGTCCCGGGACAGCCCGTTCCCGATGCAGTAGTGGAACAGACCGAAGTAGCCCACCTGCGGGGTGTCCATGCCGTCCCCGATCCAGTAGGGCTGGATGAAGCACACCACGTTGACGATGGCGAAGAGGATGGTGAAGATGGCCCACAGGACCCCGATGGCGCGGGAGTTGCGCACGTAGTTGGTCTGGTAGATTTTGGCAGCCTCGGAGGCGGGGAGCATGGTGGTGGTGGTGGTGGTCGTGGTGCTGGGGGCCCCAGGGACCATATCCTCTGGACTCTTCTGCTCTGTCCTCCGGATCCGCTCAGCAGACGAACATCTGCCTCATCTGGGCTCGCTATTCAGCAGAACTTCTTCCTTCTGGTTGCTCAGTTTGCAGCTGCAGCCACAGCTTCACCGCATCCTCGCATCCGTGGATTCCTCGCTCCGAAAACGAAACCAAAATCCTATCCGAGGAGGATTTTACCCTCCATCTGCGCTCACATTCAGCTTCCTCCGGAGGCGGTGAGGGATGCGCCCGGATCGGTCCGTCCTCTGCGCCGACAGAGCAACAACTGCAGCTGCGATCCGACCGAATCAGAGCTGGAGGAGATCCGCGGTTCCTGGGCCAGCCCACAGTTCCTAATCCTATTCTGACGTAGTGTTATTCCTGCAGGGCGCCAAATCTCAAACTGAAACACATGGATTAAAATTGAACTGAAACATCAACATTATGGATTTATTAGATATGTTAATTTTCTCCCATGATATATTTGCAGTTGCGAAATATATCACAAGTTTATTTATGTTTTTCTGCTGAATATTTGTTTATGTTGTTTTATATTAATATTACTTATTTGCATTTATTCATGTTATCTGGTAATGGTTTTGGTATTTTTTTATTTTAAATTTTTTGTGTTAATGGTTTTGTTTGCTTTATTGTTTTCATGATTTTTAATTATTTACCTTTATTTGTAGTTTTATTAACAGTTTTTGTATTTTTTTTATTTATTTGGTTTAGGTAATTTTTTTTATTAATGGTTTTATTTGTTTTATCATATTCGTGTTGTATAATTTGTATTTATTCATGGTTTTATTTATTTAGTTTATCTTTTTATTTATTTATTCATAGTTTTATTTTATTATATTCATGTTTTTTATTTATTTGTATTTACCCATGGTTTTATTTATCAATGGTTTTAATATCTTTTTATCTTTAGTATTTTTTTATTTTTTATTTAATGGTTTTGGTATTTTTATTTTTCTATTTTTATTTGTTTTATTTGTTCATGTGTTTTATTTATTTCTATTTTTAATGGTATTATTTATTTAAATTAATATTATTTATTTAAATTCATTTTTATTAAGGGGATAGATGAACTACATTACCCAGAAACCCTTAAATGCACGTGATTGGTCCGCTGAGGAATGACGAGCCGTGACGCAACCTGCCGGCGCGCGGGACTTTTCAGCATTTGATTCCGACTTTATCGAGGTTTTAAACACTTTTTCTGCTTGCTAATTTATTATTTTTTTCCACTTATTGAGGTTTCCACAGCGGCTGCTTATGTTTTCAGTTGAAGTTTTCGGTGTTGACACCTGTTTGAGTCACATTTCTTCTGAACACGTCGCCTCTTCTCCTCCAACGTCTGTTTGTACTGTCTCCAGTTAAGCTAACCTATGGTTCTCGCTGGATTATTTTTCTGTTTCTTCACCGGTTGAAGCTCATTTATATCACGGGTGGTACAGCCCAGGATGGAAGGGTTGTTGGAGCACCCGGGATATGATGGAGAGAAGCTGCGGAGAGTGTCGGAGCAGCTGCCCTGTCGGGAGGTCCAGGCTGGGATGCTGCTGTCACTCATGGGGGAGGTATGCTACATCCAGAGGTGCTAACAAATAACTCTGTAGTTTATATTAGTTCCCAAGAGACTACCGGTTCTTATTGCTTAATATTTATGTATGTTTTACTTTGTGTAAAAGTTATCTCCATTTTTTAAAACTGTTTCCATCATGATTAATAAGCTACATGATAATAAAAGCTCAGACTTGACTTTTATTCTCCTCTGATTGTGTTTATCCAGCCACAGCAGTACTGCTACCCCTCACTCTTCATCTACGGTCATCGAGCATCAGGAAAAAGTCATGTGGTGAACGTTTTAATGAAGGAACTTGAGGTGAGAGAAACATTTTCATGGTTAAAGAGACAATTATTTGAATTTCAAACAAAATTTTTCCTGGATTGGTTCTATCCAGTTATCCACATTAAAAAAAAAAAAAAAAACCCAGAAAATTTAAATGATGTATTGTGTTTTTAATGTTCATAAGAACTGGAAAATTGGCTTGTAAATACACACCCATGCGCACACACACACACACAAAACCATGTTCTTTAAAATCCCCTTTTAGTTTGTAATATAATAATCTATTTCAAAGTATGACTATGAAATTAAAATCTGCTTACAAATATGTTTCATGCAACAGAGTGATAATCTTCTAGTTTCCTTCTGTTGTCATGGTAACAACACATCTACTCTGATTTACACTATAAAGTACAACCAAATATGTTCTTAAATGATGTATTAAAACTTTGCTAAGTACATCAAGTGTTTTCAAACGATTAATTTTTATTGCAAAATTATTATTCCAAAGATATTTTCTTCACATTTTTTATCAATTGAGGCTAAAAATAAAAAGTGAAAATGTACAAAACCCATTTGAAGTTTTGGAAATATGATCCCATTAAAACTGAAACAAAAACCTACTTCATTTATGTTAAATAATTATTTGTTATTGCTTAGTTTATTGTTGAATAAGTAAAAAAACATTTTGTTGATTTTTGTTGAAAATTATATAGTTTTTTTGTTGTTTTTTGACCCAAGTGACTAAAAGTTTGAACATCCTATGAAGATGAATCCAAACACTTTAATAAATGGCAATTATTTCTTTATAATGTTTTAACTCTTAAGAACATTGACATCTGTTACACCTGATTTCCCCCTTTGTGGGACAATAAAGTCTGTTTATATTTTATGAATCTATTTTTTTGCATCTAATCTATATTTTTTTAAGAAAATGTTATTTGTTAAAAAAAGATTGTATTTATACCAAATCTCAGCAGAAATCTGCAACTCCTATTGTTAGTTTGTACAGGAAGTTTGTCTCAGTTCTTTAAATTAATAGATGTTTCATCACTGAAGCTGTAAATTGATTAATCTTTGTCCTTCTGCAGCTTCCTCATGTCACTGTCAGCTGTGTGGAGTGTGTCTCCTCTGCGCTGCTGTTTGAACAAGTGCTGCTGTCTTTCTTCGGTTGCGACGCTGCATCGCTGCTCCCCCGCAGCCCTTCCCTCTCGGACTTCGTCCGCATTTACAAACAGCGAACCTCCGAGTTTCCCAGCAAGCAGACGCGATACATCGTGAGTCTGTTCAGCTTTCTATTCAGCTTCACCCCATTTCTTCTTGTAAATTTCACAGAAAGCAGCTTAATGAAGCTCACAGGAAAAGGCCTTGTTTGATGTTTTTATTTTAATTTTTCCAGGTAATGGAGCAAGCTGAACTTCTGAGAGACGCCAGCGTCAATCTTCTCCCCGCGCTCCTCCGCCTTCAGGAGCTGGTGAGCGTTTTATTTATCGCTGGAGGCGTTTCGTTGTTGTCGGGCTGCTCAGATGATGAAGAGACCTTCGGAAGGATTTGTTTGTAATGACTAACCTTGAGCTGGAAGGGACGAGTTATTTCATAAAGCTGTTGGGAGAGAATGATGGCAGCCTCTCGCTGCATTTTAATTAAACTCTCCAACCATATTTTCTCTTGAAGAAAAGCAGGAAATATTCTTCAGTGTAGCTACATGAGAGTTTAAAGTGATAACTAGGATTTTGACAAGACTTTTCTAGTTAATATCACAGATATAAGTTAAATAAATAATAAAAAAAAAACTTCCTCCTGATAGGGAGGTTTTGCTGCAGGTTCTCCATTGTGCCTTTTCTTTGGCTGCCATTTATTTCTGGGACATCGAATGGAGCTGAAGCATCGTTACAGAAATTTTCCTCACCCAGTTCTCCTCATGACAACCAAATTAAAAAGGTCAAAATAACTGGATACCTGTTTGAATTATGAACATGATTTTTATAGAAACAAACCTGCGTCTTCTAGAGATTGAAACTCAAATTCAGACTTTCATTTTTTTAGTTTAGTTTTATTTTCACCTGGAGTTAACTTTTTCAACCTGCAGATTCTGAGAAATGTTGGTCCGTTGTCTTTTGCAGAAATGTTTTAACTTGGCCATTTTGGAGTTTTTTTTGTTTATTTGAATGACATGTTTAAGGCCTACTAAACTATATGGGTTGGATTTAAGTCCAGACTTTGACTAGGCCGCTGCAAAGCTTCTGTGTTTTTGGAAGAACAGCAGGCTTTAGAGATCCATTTTTATATTGTCCGATTTAAAAATAAAATAATAATAAATATCAGACATGGTGATTTATGAAAAAAATACTGAAATCCAAATACTGCAGATTATCTGTTGACACTGAATGATACATCAGAAACTGATTGGCTGATTGTGAAAACACATTCTTTCAAGCGTTTTTGGGAGGTATACAAAATTTCTTAACATTTTCTTCAGGTTTTTATGTTCCTTCTGTTTTTTTGTAATATTGGTAAAACTATGGTGATTTTTAAACAATCTTTTTCTAATAAATTCAGGAGGTTTGTGATGTTTTTTGAGTCCAAACCTTGAGGTACAAAATGTGTTGCATTTAGCAGATTGATCCAACATTTATTAAGTGATAGAAAATATAATTAAGGAATAATCCGCCCAATTTCTGAACAAAGCAGAATTTCCAACTCAACCTGAAGGTTGTTTTCGACTGTTTTGGCTTCGAAACAACTTAGTTGTAGGTTTAGTTTTTTGTTTGTACTTAACTAATTAGCTAATGCTAACAGGAGTCTAAGCAGTACGCTTATCACACAGATTGCAGTTTTCTGGCCGATCGACGATCCTTAAAAAGCCTGACTGGCTGATATCGATTTTAAATTTTTTTTTAATTTTTTACATGTTTTTTTGTCAGGAAAAAGCAACAGATGTCAGTTTGTTCATAAAGCATTTAAAACAGATATATATCAGCTGCACCAAAGTGCTGTGTAGCATTCATAAAACCACAGATAAAAACACTAATTAAAACAGTCAAACTCTTACAGAGTTGCTGAATTGTCAACAGTGGGTGATTATTGTTAGTTTGTGATTTTTAGCCTTTGCAGAGTCAAATAAAATCCATTTCTCATATAAATATTGTCTGATTGCCCAAAATTAATAAAATCTGGGCGGATTTATCGGCGCAGCCTTAATAATTAACTCCTTCTGGATCATCATCTCCCAGTTTCAACCATTTTTTCGGCTCTAAGCTGACTATGACGCCTTTTGCGCGTTTCATCAAACTGCTGCAGTAAATCTGATTGGTGCGTCTCCAGTTTAAACTTTTTGCTTTGTAAAATGTTTCTGTCACCTTTTCAGTGTTGATATGTTTGTGTCCAGGGATGCAACTCTTCACTCTGAAGTGTGTTATTAAATAAAATGACACATTTATGATGTTTTATTTTTAGGTGGAGGACAACGTCAGCGTCATCCTGCTGAGCGAAATCGTTTGGGACAAGTTCAGACCAAACACCGGCTGCTTCGAGCCTCTGCTGCTCCACTTCCCCGACTACAGTAAAGGTATTTGCATCAAAGAAACTTTTGTTGTTTATTTAGGCTCCTTATGAATATTCAAGCATGTTGATAATGTTGATAAATGTCGTGACAAATTAGTAGAGGAATAATTTCCTATTCAAACCC